TTTTCATATCCTGACAAATTTGCATTGTCTTCACTAACAGACAGAATGAATCAGAGGGATAAATGGTGAGCTTGAACAGCTATGGAGGAAAAGCCATTCTGGGGAATAAACACACAGCCCAGAGTAAGCAAAAGCTTCCCAAAAATGCATCTGCCTTGTCAGCCCCTCCACATGCATTGACTCCCACTCTCCTCCATGATAAAGGCCAGTTTGAGGGCTACTCCCAGATCACAGCATTTCCTCCCAAACTGTCCCTTTTCCCATAACAGTGTTTCTCTTAGGCTCAGTCATGTAGGTTCAGAGCATGTTGCAGATAGCAAGTCTTGCAAAGATGTTGGTTTACCTGCTCACACCTAAATGTTCCCTTTGCTTAGCAATAAAGGTTAGACTCACTAGTTTGCCAAAATGCTTTTTTTAGGTAGGACCAGTAAGTCGGTGGATTTCGGCACATGGGCTTCTAGAAGCTTACTTGGTCAAGTGTAGTCTGAGAAACAGAGTAGTCTTCAATGTGGAGTCTCTTTTTGTTCTGGGAGAGGATGCTAAATATTCTGGCCAGGGAAGATGGTGAAGAAGGAAGCTGGTACTGAAGCATATTCCGATGCTTTTCCTTCAGGACACTTCCAGGAAAGGCAAGCCCAAAGAATTCCTCAGCTGACTTCAGGTCTGGGTTTGCCCCTGCGATTCGCACCACTATGCTATAGCCATCTCCAAACCTGTAAACAAGAGGACCAACACAGCAGTTTAGGTAAGTAGTTTTGAAAGGAAACATAACTTAATATCCAGCACCATTTCTTGTAGCCAGAAGAACAATGGGAATGCTGCATGTGGAAGCAAGATTGTTCTGTTTGTATCTCTCTAAAAATGCAGACAACTGTGTGGCATAAGCAAGAAGAAAGTAATTACCTGTTCTTTAAATGCTGGACACTGCCCAGACACCTGAACCGCCCATTGACCATTATTGCCATACAAGTGCACAGGGCTTCACATTCTTCCATGCTGTAAGCAGAAGTAACCTCATTAGCACTGCAATCAGCACTGAAGAGCAGAGGGATTGAGCTGACTTCAGCATCCAGCCCCAGTAAATGGAATATCAGGAGTAAAATGCAGTCAAGTTGCTACGTGCCTGTGAGATGTGAGAACCACTGATCTCCCCTCCTTGATGACACTCAGAGCACAGTTCCATAGGAAATGACGTGCTTTGGGATCCATTCCTGTTGTTGGCTCATCCTGTAAAATATATTTGTAAAACCATGTTTTTCAAACTGTTTTATTTTGTACTGATAAATACCATCAACTCTGAAATTACTTGACCATTCTTATAACACATACTGGAAAAATTAAAAAATAAGAAACAAGTTTGTGTATCTTTCTTCCTGCTTTTCAAAATGTAAAAGTGATTTATGCTCCAAACTAAGTTAGGAAACATCTATTCAAGAACTGGGAAATACTGTTTATTCTGCAATTATAACATGTTGAAATACTCAGTCCTGCAACAGGTTAAATTCAATTAGCTGAAGTTGAAATAGAGTATTAGATTCATTTTTCCTGTACTATGAATTTCAGTAATACTAATGTTTATTCTGGATTTCAGTCCAAAGACTCATACAACCTTTATTTCCAAACTTTCCTTGAATTATTAAAAACACAGAACTGGTTCTCATGGACACTAAGACTTACTTGTGTCCAAAAAATAAAAGGCTGAAAGGCTTTTTTTTTTTGGTAGGTAAATAAGTCTTTGCAATAGAGCTAAAATAGTTGGCAGTTTGCGATGCTTTTTGCCTGCCCCCCCCCCCCCCCCCGGAATTTTTGGGAAGAGAAGCCTGGATGCATGCTACAATTTAACCCTATGTTTACACAGGAAGTCTTTATTTACATGTCTTTTTTGCTCACATTTAAGTGACTAGTGATGTATTTAAATGCTAGTTGGCCATAAAGTATCCAGTCTTTGCTGGAACCTGATTTGAGACCTCTCTCAGTGGAAAATGTTAATGAGCATGCAAACTCACCAGGAACACCACAGGTGGCCCCCCAATAAGAGCAATAGCTGTGGAGAGCTTGCGTCTGTTCCCTCCACTGTAGTTCCCCACACGTTTTTCTCCATATTTGACAAGGCCCAGTTTCTGGATTGCCCATTCCCCAACCTACAAGAGATAACACCACCCTATTGAATCAAGCACAGTAACATCTATGCAGTATTATTTTCCTTATAACCTAACTAAGATTTTGGGGAAGGGCCACTCATCTGAGGCTCTACCCCTGCATAGATCTGAGCTTTGAAACACCCTGTTTACCCTTACAGAAGGGTGCACAAAATTCTGTCTCAGGGGGCCCAGACAATCAAATGGCTGCAGCTTAATGAGTTACTACACATCAGCTGAACCATGGTAACTATCAGTGTAATGCTCCTAACAGCAGATGTTTAATTTCAGCCTCTCTCACTCTAGCCTTGGGTAGCTCTTTTCAGTTGCTGTGGGCTAGCAGCTTGCACACAGTCACTGCTGACACAGGGTAACTCCACTGTGCATCTGAGCCCTTGAGACAGATGGAGAGGATCTAGTTTGTTATTCAACAGTACTGGTAATCCTGCCAATAGGCAGGCACTATTGCCCTAGAAACTAAAAAGCCTTTAAAAAAGGAGAGCCAATTACTCACTACTTGGATCACACTCAGAACTGGGTCCCTTTTCAGATGGGGCTTGCAGGAACATAGCACAGAGGAACTTGCCTTCAGCTTACCCCATCACTAGTTTCAAAGAGGGATTCTAGCTATAGCTACTTGGGCATATCCTAGCTAGTATAAACAGGGACCAGATTTGGCCCCATTCAAGGCACCAGGTACAAATATCACCTTCCTACCTACAGCAGTTCATATTCTTCACTATTCAAAATAGAGATGGTGAAAATTGCTGTTAGTTCAAGGAACCAGCAATGAGGAGGGAGCTATATGATCCTGTCAGCTGGTGTTACTAATGGCCTGATAGTGCTCCTTAGTGTAACCCAATGCCTGAATGCTGAGATAGCAATTTTCAATAATACAGTATGATCGTTTGGAAATATTTAATAGCCAGAGTGTGAGGCCTTAATTATGCTGTAGAGCATTTACTCCCAGTGAATTTGGGGAGGATTAACTCTTGACAGTAAGTGAAGTCCAGCATTAGCTACAGCTCCATAGACTGGGCTCAAACAAACTTCTGAGGAAAAAAAATAATTCTGTGTGAAAGCACATCCACTGGGAGAATGCAGGGCTCAAAATACTTAGACATTTGCCCTTCCATTCAATACACTTTGCTAGGCAGCAGTGAAAAAACAGAGCCACTTCGGTTTGCTGCCCAGACCATCACTGCATTGTGTGTTGCAGAGAGGATGCATGTTAGCAGGAATTTTTTTTAGTCACCGGGGTTTTCTCTGCTCTGCTTTCTTTACCTTGCAGACTTCTTTCTCTGGAACACCTCTCAAGAGTGCAAAGAACTCCAGATGTTCTTGCCCTGTCAGCAGTTCATTAACAGCATCAAACTGTGGGCAGTAGCCCATGTTCTGATGGACTTCTTGCATGTTGGACAAGATACTGTGGAAGAGAACTCCCTTTGTTAGAATTTTACAAGTACATAAAACCATTTTAGGTAAGAAAAGAAAGGAGGTGAATCAGCGGTTTTGGAATCACCGGAATAACAAAAATATGGAATTCTGAAAATTTTTCTGGGCCAAATTCATTATTTTTAAAGGCGACCTGGCTTTCGCTTCATTCTGTAAATCTGAAACAAAAACAAACAAAACATGAGAACAACAGTGGAAAAGAGAGAAATATAATTAGAGCCATACATATTCACCACTTCAAGTATGCTCCAGTGTTGATCCCACTGGAAATTCTGTGGCATTGCAATAGCAACACGTGAGCAACTATTATAAGATCATATCATAGCTATTGTACTCAAGGGAGTACAATACTAGGGAGTACAGTACTCAGGAGTAACTGAATTAACTGAAGATTCAGATAACCAAGGGAACAGACTTAAGTCTGCGCTCAACCATGCAAAGCTAGATTTGTAGCTTACATATACTGGTGCAACTCTACTGATCCAAAAGAGCCCCAGACAAGGTCTGGTTCCCAGTGTCCCACTCAGATACCCCACTTCAACATTTTGAGCTGAGTTTCAGATCTGTGAATGTCAAAGCCCCTGATAGCAGCAAAAGTTATTCCACTGGTTGTGTGTGTGCGTGGCTGGGGGAGAGTGTGTGTGTGTGTGAATCAGGCCCATGGTGAATGGCACGGTCTTGTACCAGCTGTGTCAGCAAGTCCTCTAGAGATGAATGCAGAGCCCTTCTGTCACCTTGGTTAGTTCTTTGATTTCCAAAATATCACTTTGTCCTCCTCCACTGATTATCCTCTGTCTCTCTCTGGTTACATCCTCATCTTCATCATTCACAGGGGACAACTTGGCATATACAGGCCTGGAGAGGGGAACATGAGAAAATATTAATGGAAGAAGACAGAGTCTCCATGGTTAATGCCTCCCTGCCCTTTGTCAGATAACAAGAAAAGCTTCAGCTGCTTACAATGGTGAAGTAGAACAGAACAACCCACCTGGGCTTGATGAAGAACCTGTACTGGATGAGCACAGTGATGAGGAAGAAGACTACACCCTCCACTGCCATGGCAAAGAGGTTCCGCCCCACCAAATCCCATGACAGAGGGGACACAAAATGATTCTCCCCTGCCAAGGTGAGACAAAGATCACAGTCAGCTGTTTGGAGCACTGGCAGAGGACTAGCACTTTGTCATGCAAAGTTTACCAAGTCACTTGAGGCACTGAGGCAACTGGTGAGCAGCCAGGGGGAAGACAATAGTAACAGGTCACAAGAGGGGCTAGTTGTGGCTGGGGGCATATTTTTTACTTGTAGTAAGGTAGGAGCTGGGCACATGTTCATAGGAAAAGGTGACCCTAGTCCAGAGAGTTCAGTCTGCCATAGGTAAAGCTGGCCCACCTTTCAAACAAGGGAGTGAAGCACAGGGCTGAGACTCACTCAAGGCATCTGCAGTAAAGCCCAGAACAGAACCCAGCACTCCAGAACCCCAGCCACAGTCTCTCCTTCCACTCACCCTAATGATCTCCAAATAATTCGTTTTACATATTTTAAGTTAACAAATGTTCCTAATAGCTCAAAATTCTGGGGATCTAATGGCTAGGCCCTCTTCAGGCCTCATAACCTAAACAGGACAGCTGCAGAGACCTGTCAGCTCCAACGAGATGTGTGCTGCAAACTGAACACCTTAAGTTCCTGACAATTCAGTGGAGTGAGGGGTGCTCACCTGGGGCAGACTCAAGCCTTCTATGGCTTCTTTGGCTTCTATGGCTTCTCAGGCCATGATGCCTGCACTAGACAACTGCACTTACCAAACCTCTCCAGAGCATCAGCCATGGCCTGTTTTTTCACCATGTCAATGAGTCCCCGCCCAAGGCAGAAGTGGGGAAAGATGAGGAAGAGAGACTTCAGAATGTCATTGATGTTGTTCAGCTTCTGTCAAGACAAAAGCCAAGTGCCACTCAGCCATCCGAGCAGAGAGCAGCCAGCACAGAGTTCTATCTGCCAAGTTTGACCCATGTTGTGAATGACCACCCCAACACTGCAAACCAGCAAAATACTCAAGGATTAGAAACACTCCCCTAAGAAACAGTGGCAGGGCTCCTCTGGAGGGTCAGCATTACTCTTGCTCTGTTCAAGACATCATTATACAAACAGCACCAAAATAGATTCCTCCAAGTACTCCCAGTTTAAAAGTCACAGTCTGCAAATGACAAATGTGTGCAGAAAAGCTATGGGTTGAGGAGACAGGGAAGTTGTGCTTGCACAGAATAACCATCTCAGTGGCTGTGGGTAGCCCCTTCCCTAGCTAAGGTCAAGTCAGTTTGGCATGTCCTATTCCCCTCTCCATTGCTACATATTCCTCAAAAGCTCTCATAAGACAATGATCTTTGTGGTCTTCCAGTTTTGCCTCCTGTTCCTGAGCAAACATGTGCTGGCTTTGTTAGCTACCCAGCCCATAGGTCAGACCAAGAGCAGCCTGAAAAGGGGCTCCTGTTCTGCTAAGCACTTGAACTTCAAATGTGCACATTCTTACTGGGCTAAAACAAGTCTTTGAATGGAAGGGACCACCCATGCAATCAAGGACTGTCTCCTCACCCCCACAGGTAGTCGTGCAACAGACAGGTTAGTCCCACAGGGTGCCCAAACCCCCACTCCACACAGATCTTCACCAACAATGCGTGCCAAACAAGGCCTGCTAACCCACTTCATGTTGCATACAGAGATAAGCAGAATTTGCACCTTCCCCATTAGGCATCTGGCTTTGGCAAATCAAATTGAGGTGCCTAAGTTCCCAATACAGCCAACAGAGCGGTATTGCCTCTGGAAGCAAGACTGTGGGCAGCTAAATTGAGTGCTTGAAATTACCTGTAGGAGATGGATACTGTCTCTCATGAAGAACCTTGCTGAAACAGCCTTTAAGCCCACTTCCACCAGAACCCATCTTTGACCTCCTGCACTAACCAGCAGGTACAAACTGGGGTCTAGCCTTGCTGGGGAACTGATCACTAAGGACAACATGGCAGCAACATGAAACTAGTTGGTGGTGGCAAAGGCAGCAAAGAGCTCATGGGGAAAATGTACGTTGTTGGTGAAGAGCTCCAGGACAAAGGTAGCCACACTACCATTGATGCCAATGAAGAGGTTCACACTGGTCAGCACGATGTATGCAGTGCTGGGGATTCTGAACACAAAGGATGCTGGATACATGAGAGGGGTGATAGACCACCTGGCAAGGGGAAAGGCAGCAACATTAGATAAGCGCTTTCCAAGTCTACATGCCTCCTCAGTCACCCTCACAAGGCAAAATCCCTTACCCATAGAGAAGCAGAAGAAGGGCCAGCACAGGCAGGTTGGAGGAGGACATATAGGACTTCTGCTGGAAGCAGATGAAGATGATGATGACTAGCGTGGCTGGAACAACATAGTTGCACTGGAAGGAGAAAGATATGGCTCCAGATTTGTTTCCAAAAGATTAAAAAAAAAAATGTCCTACTGCCCTGAACCAATGTTTTTCAACATTCTTCAGTGTTCCCCAAACTGTTTCCAATGGGAGACCATCTTAGGAATGTCATGTATGTAAACTGAAGTGCAGTACACACAAATTTGCTTTTCTTAGTCCCTCTAGAAGTAGTCAATAGACCCCTGGAGGTTCTGGGCACCACAGGCTGAAAACCACTGCTTTGAATGGAGTGGAACAAGTGATTAGAAAAGTAAATATTATTTTGGGGGCAGGTATTTTAAAGGGACATAATGAATGCTGGTGGATAGAGCTTATGCTCACCCTACATAATCTGTTCAGTGTTCCTTGTCTCATCCAGATGAATCATTGCCCCAAGGAAGTAAACACAGAGGGCATAGGAATTGTTATTATTCTCTGTACTAATGTGGTGCCCACTGGCCCCAACTGCACTTTGCACCTTAGTGCAGCAGATACCTTGCAAACACGTAACAGAGGACAGTCCCTGCCCTGACAACTTTACAGGAAATGAGAAGACAAGTGTTACAGGGGAATCTGAGGCAGAGAGGGGAAATTACTTGCTCAAAGTCACCCAGCAGGTCAGTAGCATAACTGGTTCTCAGGGTCACATCTCAGGCCCTCCGCTAGCCCCACCATGCACTCTTCAGTCTGATGTGCACACTGAAGGGGAGCTCTCATCTTTCAGTACCTATACAAATAGCTTGCATGCCTAAAGGCATACAGCAGTATCTGGACATAACTCTGTTCTGTACTGGCTTATGCCAAAGCTGGCAAGTTGTGTAGAGAAAGAAACACTGCATTTCCTTAACTCACCTGGAGGGAATCACATTCCTCCTCAGCCCCAAGAGAAGGGGATACAGTGCCCTTTGTGAAACAGCCTCTCTGTTGCCCTGCACTCAAGCTCAACGATTCTGTTTCCCAGTCACAAGGTGGAATCCAGCACTTGTCCCTTACCATATCCCAGACAAAGTTAGCCAGCCAGTAGATCACAGGCTTCACACCACTGATGAACTGTAAGTGTTTGGCCTTGCTGACCCGCTCCTGGATAAGGAAGACCACGAAGCTGGCAGGGATGAAGGACATGGCAAAGATCACACAGACTGAGACTAAGACATCCATGGAGGTGGTCATCCTGGATAAAGGACAACAGAAGCAAAGCGCTCATACACTGGTGCTGCTGGCTCCATCCTTTCCAGCCACAGGAGATTAAGTGAAGCAGCTCAAGCCAGGGTAGTGCAGAAACTGGATCCCCTTCTGCCACCCTTATTTTGTGGGGTCAAGAGTAACAGAATCAGGCCGTGTTAACTACAGAGTTGTTCTCTGGTTGTATAACAATGCAAACATGCACTCCCTATAGGCATCTCAAGGAATGAAGGCACCTGGACATCTTCAGCTGGTGACTTCAGTATGACACTGCACTCCCTGCGTTAATTCAAACGTACATCTGCTTCTCTCCCTCTCATCTGCCAATGCTCCACTGGAAGGTTGTGTCTACATATGGCTTATGATTCCTGACTCAGGTTATGATAGTACTGGACTAGTCAGTGCCTCAGTGTACATGGAGTAAGCCCTATGCATTACTGTGCATCTTCCAGGCTGGGACAGCGGAAAAAACTGAATAAGAGCCATCAATGGCTTCTATTCAAGCAGCAGCACCTTGGGACAAGAGAATGACCATATCCATGGTGAGTCAAGGTTACTCTAGGCTTTCTGGATATAGCTGGGGGAGGAAAGGAGGGGTTACACAGTTGAAATTCTCCAAGAAGATGGTCAGGGGTGTTATGCTGCATCTTAAGAATCACAGAGAACTTATAGGGGCTCAGAGATGCATGAAGCTTGCATTGCAGAGTAGTGAGGAACAGGGAACCATGTTTACACAACAGAGAGGATCCTTTTAACTCTGGAACCACTAATAAAGAAACTGCTTGGGGAGGATCTCTAACTCTTTGGAGGAAAATTACTGAAGCCTAGAGAACACAAAGGTGCTGAAAAAAAAAACGGGGGCAGGCTGTTGGACAGAGTTGATATTTACACCAGCTACTGGAAACAGCAAGTGATTTCTGGAACCATTGCAAAGCTGGTGCCATCTGTGTGCTTCAGCTAGTCATTTCCCTTGAGAGTTCCCAATGCTGGGAATGCTTAAATACTAGAGTGCCTGGGAGATAAGAGAGCAAGAGGCAGAAGGCAATGGGCACTGAGCACACATCCCTTGCCAGGGGTTTGGCTGCCTGTGCTCAAGGCCAGCTCTGATATGTTGCAGCTGTGCAACCTGGGATTAGACTGCTGGGAAAGAGCTGGGAGAATTCTCAGCAAGGGCCTCTCCCCTTTGTTCAGGAGCTACATTTAAGCTCAGGCCCTCATCCTTGGGCCTTGTCCGAGTTATGCTGTAGGCATGTCATGCCTGGCTATGTACCTTGCTGATCCTACCTTTGCCTTGCTGACTTGACCTCAGACCTGCCTCATCTCTATGGCTTTGCCCGGTGATCACTGGACTGTGGCTGACCCCAGTCACCGTCACCAGACCTGCTCTGCTCAACTTGTTCAGGTACTGTAGGACTGTGCCCTGTTGGTGGGGTCACTGCCCCTGCCTGCCTCGCTGTCACCCTCTGCTCCCAGCTCACCTGCCCTTATGGAGCAGCCTGCTCCTGCTGCTCCCCGACAGTTACAGCCTGTGAGCAGATGTTCAGTCAGTGGAACAGAAGTCCAAGAGCAAGTGCTGCAGCCTGCCCAGGGCACAACAAATAAGTCTAAATGTCATAGGCCACTGACTGTCCAGCAATAGAATGGTAGCAGGACTATGACATTCCTTATGTCTCCATGAGCCCAAACCCATCCATATGCAGATCAGGACTTACAGGGCCACTTCAGAGATCTGCTGCTTGGTGAGGTTGAGTGGGTGATTGAAGGCAGTGATGCCATAAACACTGGGGTTCTTGCCCTGCTGCAGGTTGGCCCGAAGGATGGCATTGTTTATCACATTCAGGAAGGAGACAATGGCATGCCAGCCCTTGTTGTTGAACCACACCTATAAAGCACATCAGCATCAGAAAGGCACTAGGTGCACCAGCTACCCAACAAGCTCTGGAGCCCTGCAAAATGTCCCTACATATATTGAAGATGTATCATTTCTTCCTACCTCCCTGCAGCTATGGTTTGCTGAGGGACAGGACATACAATTTGACCAATAACCAGGAGAGGTTGCTGGCAGCAAGTGTGTGCCCTTTGCCCCAGCACAGAATTCCCACCAACTTCTGGGATTTTGGGTTGGACTCCAAGGAAGACATGGATTTTGGGGGAATCCACCCAAGAACACAAGTTGCACTTGCTCCACTAGCAAAAAATTTAAATGCAGCGAGCCCTGCTTTGCACAGTTGCACAAAGCAAACTGCTAGCAAACTGTTCATTAAAAATAGCTCCAGGTTACCAGATATTCCAATAGCAAGCACAACAGTGAAGTGTGGATTGAATTTACCTTCACATTGTTCTTTGTATCCAGGCCTTTCATGAAGCTCACCAAGCTGTTGAGAAACCGATCTCCAGAACCCCCCTGCAAACAGCACCAAAGGAGACAGTTGCTTCCTCTCTGAGAACACCTGGAGTCACACTATGTTTTTCATGGCTCTGACGCAGCTTTCCTTCCATTCCACAACCTGGATTCTCCCAGCCTGAGGTTGTTTGTTAGAAAGGTAAGAAGCCCCAGATTTTCTCTTCCTCTTTTCATTCTGCAGTCCCAGTGGGAAGAGAGGTCAACCTCAGGACTGCTTGCTCCTGGCAGCAATTGTTAACCACAGCCCTGGGCAGCTTTCAGAGACATTGCAGCCTGAAGGCACTTTCAGAAGAAAACAGTGGCCCAAATTCTCTTCTGAGACAAAAAGAATTTGGCACAGAAAGGGTTACACAGGACCCAGAAACAGCTCATTAATTCCCTGAGACAACCTGCCCTGTCCTGGCATAAGCGAGACACTTGGAGATGGCTGTAATCTGCATTGACTTGCAACTGAGCTGGTCTTGGGAAGAACCCACATCAGCAACACTGGTTGTACTGCTATAAGTCTCAGCTGAGCAGGTCTCCATGCCTTCTGCTGCTCACTAACACCAGCCTAGGAGAATTCAGCTCAAAGAGGCTGAAGACAAGCCACTGGACAACTACATACGCACCCTCTTCTTATTTTGTGGTTTCTGAGTCACCTCCCAAGTAATGGTACTCTGTCACATTAGTGCAATCTGGGCTTGTGGGGGATGGCTGCTCACCTGTGCTAGCTCCAAGATTTTCTTCACTTGTTTAATGGCATCAGTGACTTCGTGGCTTGGAGGAAGCATGAGGGAACTGCTGGCTCCCAGGGAAAAGCCACCATACCTGAGAGTATAGACAGAGGGTGAAGCACAGAGCTGACTATACACTGACCTCCAGAAAAGGTCACTCCTCCTTCCCTCCTGAGGTCTCTCCTCTTCCTGTACTACATCCAAGGCAGGTGGTTGCAAGAGACTGCACTCATTTGAAGGCTACCTTTGGCTTTCACACTGCTTCTTGGCCCTGCTATCTCCTGTTCCTTACTTCCAGGATTAAATACTCAATTTACAAAAGGGATTGCAAAGCATGGTACCTGCAACAGCACAGGCAGGACTGTGCTCAGTGAACCCAGCAGTCCCTCCTTGTCCTTCATTTCCAGTGTAGAGCACTGCAAGAAATCTTCCTGCCTCCCCTTGCTTGGAAAAACAGCACCTCCCACCAGAGAGCTCATCTGTAATCTGACCCTGCAAGCCTTTATTGGCCTGCACCGCTCACTGTATGAAGCAAGTAGGGTTTCCAGGGATGGGTCCTGGGGTCATCCCAATTTATCCTTAAAAAAAGCTCCCCAAATACTCAACAGTTGGAAGCCTTTAATTATTCCAGTGCTCATTTTCTCTGGACTCTTTTAGAAATTAATCATTATGTTGAAACTTCTCTACTGGCTTCAGGTCTCATCAAAAGAAAATATTTACAACCAACTATTACTGGGGGGGAAGTCTGTCCAGACAGCACCCTGCTGAGTACAGTACTCAAGGGTTACCAGACCCCAATAAGCTAGAGAAAGGGCAGTAACTCACCTGAACTCATTCACCCAGATCTTATTCTTTAAGCTGTAGAAACAGAGAAGAAAGCAGATGTGTTAAGCACAGAGCAGACACACCTACCAATGCTTCAGGAACATTGCCAGGGAGAAATGAAACACTACTTCACACCTGGCATATGTTCCACCATTTCTCTCAAGCATAACCCCTAGGATTTGCTCTCAAACTTTCCCCTTACAAGGCCCAGGACAGCCACAGCCACTCCCCCCCGAAGCTGCCACTGGATCAATACAAAGCAGAAATACCTGAGTTGCAGTCAGGACAGCCCTAGGAGCTGAGTGAGTCTGACCTACTCCATCCTTGGAGGTTTTCAAGACCTGACTGAATAAAACCCTGAGGAACCTGGTCTGACCTCATAGCTGACCTTGCTTTGAGCAGGAGGTTGGACTAGAGACCTCCTGAGGTCCCTTCCAACCTGAATTATCCTATGAGCCTATGACCTACTGTTGAAGAGTTTGGGTTGTGCAGGTCTTTTTGCCTGAGCTATGCAGCATCCCATAACAGCAAGCAGTGTTTGGTGAGGAGAGGGGGAAGAGGGTGTGTTCAACAGGCACCTTTTCCCAATGATCTGTGTATAGGTCTTCACTAGATAGTCTGATATATTGCGGCCTGTCAGGTTCTGGAGGATGTCAGCAGTGTCTTGTTCTCTCTGGTGGCACCAGGGCAAGAGAGATAAGCAGTCCATCAGAAAATGCAGAGTCAGATGAACTGTGCTCAGTGCTATACACAGCCTTCAAACCCAGCCACTTGGCTCTCCAGGAACATCCCCCATGCCATATGTGGGGGGAAAAAAGGGAGTCATAAGACCACCTGAAAGCTCTCCTACCTGTGGGGGTGGCAGCCCACCTGCACCAGAGGGACACACAGGCAGCATCTTCTTGATCATCTCATTGCTGCACTCACAAGACAGGGAAGGGTTCTCCATGGTCCAGTTGCCTTTCAAGATATCCAGGACTGAGTCTGGGACTGAGGCAGTGGTCCATTCCTTCTGCCCAGCAGTGCAAGGAGTGTCTCTGTCAGGACAGAGCCAAGACAAATGCATTTTTTAAAAACAAAGGTGATTGATTGCCTTTGGTTACAAGTCATGTAAGAGAGACCATGAACCCTAGGAGGGGAGGCAGACTGCTGTAAGCACTTGGTTTCCATAAGAACCTGCCCTCACTGAAATAAATAGCTCAGAATAACAGACCAGGCACGACTGCTTCCAAATCAAGGAGAAGCTCTCCCTGGTGTCAGAGGAATCGTGTTTAACCAACACTAAGTAGTGCTGAGCACTCCCTTCTCATTCCTTCCAGGGCACACCAAGTGCTTTATTTCAGTCAGTCCCAGCATGCAGAACATCCACAGCTGGGAGAAATTCACAACAGAGCCATTTCTTGGATGTCAACTCTGCCTTTGGGGGTAGCAGAGTGTTGTTGCACTTTCTCAAAGCAACACTAGTAGGCAGATGATCTACAGCCTCCTCCCATGCCTACAGGTGGAGTAATCCAACTCCTGTGTCTGTTCTGCAGGGCACATCTTACTTCCCCACCACTGGCCAGTGTGCAAGGCATGGGGCTCCAACCCTCATCCACTTCCCCATCCCATTATGGACAAGAGCTGCAGTTCTTCCAGCCCAGGCACAAACCACCCCAGAACTTGGTACACTCTTTTTACTCTTTCTGCATGCACAGCCTGGTTCTTCAGTGAATTGCCCAATGCCATGCAGCAAGTCGGTGGCAGAGCTAAGAAACAACACCCATGCCCCCTGTCTGCTGGTGTTTGTGGGGGCTGCCAACCAGGGTTGCTAGGTTTGTGGAAACAGGATTGTGGAAACTGAATACCTAAAGTCAACAATACAGAGCTACACAATTAGGTCCTTTTCCATGTTCAGGACCATACCAGTAATTTGGAAGAGAGACTTCTGTCTCCTTTCCAACTCTGTCAGTGAGAACTTGTACTCAGACTCCGTTCCCTTACCATGTGGAGTGCTGGCAACTTTCTAGAAAGTCCAGAACAGAAATAAATTCATTTTCACAGTATGTAATTGCAACCCTTCTGGCTTAAATTCTGCCCTGGCCATGTGTGTGTAGCATTTCCTGAAGCTGACTAGATCTGCTGGGTCATTAGAAGCTGGAATTTAGGACTTCCCAGCCTAGAGTTCTACTTATGGGATGGAGTATCCCTGCATACAGCGTGTCCCAAAGCCAGGCTCATTTAGAAGTGCAGCCAAAAGCTTCTGAGCGCCTGCATCATCTGGAGCATCATTGCTATGGATGCAGCATAGATACCAGGTCAGTGGGATAATGCACGTACAGCAAAAACAACAAAGCAAGGTTAAGAACACAGAGAAAGGCTCAGGAAAAGGAAACAGGTGGAGATTTCCCTTTGCAGAATACTTGGCCTAAGTGCACAAATGCACTCCTGGTCATAATTTATCTTCATGTTATTAGAATCCTAACACCTTTCTGAGATGGGTATGGGCTTGCTGGCAGTTAGAACTAGCATTTTTAAAGCTCTGAAAAGGCAAAGTCTCCTTTAGACTGTGCTTTGGAGCTAAGCACAAAAAAAAAAAAATTAAGCAATTGGGTGAGGACCTCACTACAGGTTACCAGAGAAAAGCAGAGTTGTAGGATTTAGCACCTGTTTAACCCCTGGCTACAGGAAACATACCTGATAAAAGTGTACTGCTCATCATACATCCAGGGCTGTAATTCCAGGCTGGGGTACTTCCCAAAGGGAGGAATGATCAGGCTGAACATGAGAGCAATACACACAAAGATGGCTGGCAACACAATCTGGAATTGCAAGGGGAGAGAGAGAGAGAGAGAGAGAGAGAGAGAGAGAGCCCCCTTTAAAGCAAGTGTTTCCAGAGGCATCAGCAGCTTCAGGTGAGTTATTTAATAGGTCAGGACTTTTTCAATCAAACTTTCCTCAGGAAGGTTTTTGGGATGTACCAAGGCACCACTGGTCAGAGATGCACCTATCCCTGCACACAGTCAGGTTGCTCACTTGGGATGCAGAAGACTCAGCCTCCTGTTCTCAGAAGACAGAGTTTAGATTTGAACCTCAGTTGCACCCATCCTGTGAAAGTGCTCTAACCACTTGGTTATCATCTAACTCCTGTCCTTCTCACTGGCTCACAACAACAAACCAACTTGCACAGGCCAGCCCCCTTTTGCTCAGATGTGCAATGAAGACCAATTTTGATGACCCAGATTCTCTTGAGGTTTCCTGCCCACCTTTGACCCTGAATTTAATGCATGGCCTGGTACTGTACTTGCTGAGGGACCCTGCACATGCTAGACATTCTTACCTGAGCAAAGAAGCCCTTCTTGCTTCGCTTAGCAATAAGCAGCCTCTTCCACAACAGAGCCATGAACTGCTGCTGCATGA